CATTCCAATTCATTCAAAGTCAAATTCCTTTGATGGATTCCAATTCCATCAAATTCCATTATGTGAACCAAACACCCCATAAGAATGTATAGCATTTCGACTTTAAGGGATAGAATCTTCATTGATAGTTTGCTGGCCCTTGTAGATTGCCAAAACTGGTACACCAAAAGACAGTATAGCCTTTCAAGTTGATAAAGTTCTCCAATAATCACTATAGATCAAGATCCCAAAAGTCCAAGAAAGACTCTCATGGCTCCTTAATCAACATCTTCATGATTTCTAACCCAAATACAGCTGGGTACCCAGAATTGATCTGTAGCACCAATGCTAACTAAAAAATGGGACTACTTTTTTTAGGCTATCAAATTGCATTAACCAAGATCAGCAGCAATTAATGATCCTAATCACTAGATCTTTTGAGCTTTACTGATGCTCCATCTATTATAACACCATCCAAATCCAGGCCATTGCTGGTTTCCTTGACGATCACATCACCATAAAAGCAATCTTTATGACACAAAACGATAAAATCACATATCTAAACTTCTACTAGAGATTCATTTTTTACTGTAAAAAACAAAATTTACAACGATTACTCAAGTCTTTTAGCTCCACATGTGTTCAGCTGTAACATTCTTTCATTGCAATTATGTATTTTTTAACAATTTTGAATAAAAAGAACGGGTTTATTTGGCCATTAGAAGTCTAAAAGAATCCAAGTTCTTAGAAGGGTCTAATAGTTAACAATCTACAATCACCATCTACAGTTGCTATAACATCATGATGTTGATCAAAACTACAGTGATTGTTAATCCCATGATCATGATACCATCAATGAGAAGCTATGAAAACGGTAATCAAACGAACACAATTGCAATGAATAAGGACTAACTTGATAACAATCAAGAACTCAACTATAGTTGGTGTGATATAGACATTGGAAATCATATACAACAAATAATGTGATGATCAAAGCATAATTTACAGTGAACTTACATGTAAATTAGCTCCAAAAAGCTTCAAGAACGTGTTTTGATTCTTCTGGTGATGATCATTGTCATTTTTGATCCCATCAATGTTATGTTTCTCGCTTGAGAAAACTCTGATTTCCTAAACAATTTCATAACTTCCTTCACCTCATCATTTCCACACTCCTCCACACACACAACACATGTGCCTCCAACACTAACAGTCCTCTCCAGCTCCCTAGCATACCGCGATGGAAACAATGCCTGATCCAAATGCGCACTGAACCCTAAATTGAAAACCCCATCGAAAAAGGGCAAATTATGCGGATCTGCCCTACTCACCAACGGAGGAGAATCAACTAATTCAACACCGGTGACCTCATGTAATCCGATCTCCTTAAGCGACATGACGGCCTGACCACCACCGGCGGAGAGGACGAGGGCCTGTGTGTGATTAGAGAGGTGTTTGAGGGTTTGGAGATAATGGAAGATGGCGGAGAATGAATCGACGGATTTCCGCCAGGCGTTGGTGGACCAGAGACGGTGGTTTTTCTTGTCAATGGTGGTGATTGGGCGATGAGCGGCGTCACAGGAGGATTTGGGATGGGGTTTGTGATGAGGGTTGGTTTTGGGATCGATGCAGGTTTCTGGTGGGGTTTGGAAGAGGAAGACGAGCAGTAGAGTGAGTGTGGCTATGGTAATTGCTAAGTATGAGACCTTTCTTAAGAAGATCTGAATGTGTTTTTCCATTTTTAGGGGTTGTTCTCATCAGAAAAGAGATGAAGTGAAGATGATGGCGACCTCCATTGTTGATCCACAAATCCTCTGATTTCTTAAGTGCTTGAATCATATGAGTTGTCATATTTCACCTTTTTTCACTAATCACCCCCTCCAACTTTTTATTTTTATCAAATCGACAACGGAAAAACTTAACCTATGGCCATTGGTTTTGGTTATAAATTGTTTTGGAATAAATGTTTAGATATAGAGAAATCAGAAAGGCTCTGATTGTTCCTTGAAATGAACCAAAAAAGCTCTAGTTGATCCTCATAATAGAACCAAAGGGTTCTGGACGTTGATTTTAGATTTAATGTTTTGGTTTTTCCATTTTTAACACACTTGTTCTCTTTATAGAACTTGTATATATTTGAGATTTTGTTTTGAAACTGAATGGTGAGATTTGATTTTTATCCAATTATTTATGTTTTAATCTTTACTTAATTATATATGTGGATTGGATTTATGTGAGATCAGCTTGTTTCCATAAGACCCGTGCGAACATTTTTTTACACTTGAAACTTTACAGCAAAACGTTGTGAAGGTAAAAAAAAAACTAAACTTTCACAGCAAAAACACTGTGAAGGTTACCTTCGTAGCATTTTACTGTGAAGTTTCAAATGTAAAAAATGGTCTCACAAAAACAGGTTGATCTCACATAATCTCAAGTCTTATATATGTTTTCAGCTTAATTATATTATTTTAATATTTTACTCATTCCAATGATTTAACGACTCTTAATTCTTTCAAGTACTATTATACAAATGATACTGAATTTATATGTTACTTTGTTGTTTTAAGATATTTTTCCTGTTTTATTTTGTCACACTGTTAATATAATATATTGTACGATTTTGATAATTTGTTTCATTTATTACTCAGCCGGTTAATGTATAATGTTAGCATATGTGTAAAAAGGTGATAACTCTCATTTTTAGTGTTATTTACACTTCGTTAATGTGTATTTGTATTCCCTTTTAGTGTGTGTTTTTTTCTTTATGTGTCTGTGTTTCCCTTTTTTATTTATTTATTTACATTTGGAGTTGTTGAAGATAAAATTTGTATTTGATTATTGTATGTGTCGAGAAATAGCTAAAAAGTCGGATTTTGACGTTGCAAGTCATAGTGGGGGGTTATCACTGTGATACGCAGTCGTTGTAGCTGCAAAAAAATCTTTATTGGAGATTTATTGCAAGTATGTGAAAGAGGAATGAGGTTCAGATGTCGGTCGAGTTGGTGTGTCATACAAATACGTGCATCTCTCTGTATTGGCGTAACTAAGATTTTCGAGATCTACTTAGTACAGTTGGCAACCGAATACTGGTGTGCACTTGCATCATTTGCTGTCAATTGTGCCGCTATAGCAGTGGTATCGTGGTTAGTGGTGGTTCGGTGAATCCAGTGGTCAAATAGAGGCTTCAAATCCCGGTGCCGCTCAAATTGACGCTATTTGCCGCCTTTTGGCCGTGATATTTAGATGCAATACCGGTGAAAAAAATGCGGTTTCAATTAGAACGGCTTTCTAAACTATTGGGCTTCTTTTTAAGGTTGGGCTCATAATAAGTTATTCAAGTTGGGCTTTTTTATTATTTTATAAGTTGTAGTGGATTTAGGTGTCGTTTGCCAAACGCTTACCCGGGTAAGCGCTTACCAAGTCAATTTACTTTACCAGATGAATATGGCAAAAACTAATAATCTTACCCGGTAAGAGTGAAAACAAGAATCTCGAGTCTTACCTATTAAGTGAGGACAAGGACCCTTACCATGGTTAACGCTTATCAAGATAAATTGTTACATACGATGCGTTTTAGTGAATAAAATATTGCCCTAAAAGGGTGTGCCATTAACAGCTATGATTTTGGACCTTCTAATCTTCCATGCGATATATGTTGTAACCCAACTCATCCCCTAACTCACGTTGAACCAACTTACGATCTATGGCTCATTGTCCACATCATCTTCACGACTAGTCCAACGACCTCACATTGCTACTCTAGGGCACATACGCTATACAATATATGTTCTAACACGGTAAACTTAAAACTTAACCAAACACAAAATAACATGCTTATTAAGGGGCCGTTTACCCAAATGCTTACCCGGTAAATGCCTACCCGGTAAGTGCTTATCAATAGGAGTCAACACTATAATTTATTTTGATGCATAAGATTTTAATATATCAAAACATATCAAATGCAATAATTTACAGGGTAAACGCTTACCTGGGTAACAATCGTAATTACTCTTACCCGGTAAGATTCTTGGCCTTTATCATGTTCATCCGATGAGAAAATTTATAGGTTAAGCACTTACCAAGTAAGCATTTAGTAAACGGCCCCTAAGATATATATTCACTGAATCAACAAATTCAACACCGATTCATACAGAAATTTAGGATTAACCCACTTATCACATAATATGGATAAAACCTCAATTCTTATCATCTATTGCCTTCAAACATCGATTTCATGCGACGATGATGCACATATTTTTTGAACATAAGTTGTTACCAAATCATATACGTCTGAACAGTGCGACTTCCAAAAATTGACATGTCGGCATATAAGATGATTCATTTTGATATAGAAAAAGCCAGAGACAACAGACTAGATAATACAAAACAAAGATGCTTCACCAACGAATATATCGAAGTTCTATAATGTGAAAATCTCAAAATAGATGACCACAAGAGTGGTGCATGATTGGTTTGAGCTTAACTTCAAAGATCAAAAATACTAAAAAGTCTCAGGTTCAAATCCAAAAAGAAAAAACAAACCTCTTATGACCACGAAAATTCAAATACAATAACTCCAACCAATCTATAAAACAGATGATTATCCTGAGATTAGTCGCTCATATAATGGATTGGATATCCCTATTAATAAAAAAATTCTCAAACGTTGATATAAAAGTTCAAAGACAATCTTTGTAAGCACAAATAAAGCGCTGCCACGTGTTTATTTTTTTAGTAATACATAATATTTCTATTTTACATTAATTTTTATTAGTGACATAACCACCTCACTCAACCAAACGACTGACGGTTAACATATCCTTGAAGCTAAACTATATTCGCCGGTCAAAGTTCCTTTTTCGTCTCCGCCACGGACAGCGGCTGTGACGGTTCTCCGCCGCCAATGCTCACCACCTTCGGTCCTTTTATCTGTTCAGGCGACAACTTCCTGATCGAAATCGTAAGCACTCCGTTCTCAAGCTTGGCATTCACCGAATCTAGATCGAGATTTTCCGGCAACCTGAACTGTCTCCAGAACTTTCCATATGACCGTTCACGGCGGTGCCAGTGATCACCACCACCGTCTTTCTCCTCCTCCTCTTTCTCTCTCCGCTAACTCTCAACACTCGATTTTCTTCCACTTCAATCTTTAATTCTTCCTTTTTCATCCCAGGGACTTCCATCGTGATCTCATGACCGTCGCGTGTCTCCTTCCAATCCACCCTCGCCGGCGACACGATCAGTTCGTCGTCCCGCTGGATTCCGAACGGAATCTGCTCCAATTCTCTAAAAGGATTGGAAAACAAATCAGATAAGATACTGCCACCGATTGGATCGTGATGATGATCGATTAGCGTCGATAACAGAGATCCGCCACATTTTCCGGCGAATAATAGATACAGAAACCCCAATAGCAGAATCGTTCGCATGGTGTTGTCAATGCTTGTATATGATAGCTTGATTAGGTTTGTTGAAACTCTGGTTTCATGGTGGTGGTTTTAAGTTATTTATATAGCAGGTGGAGGTCCATTGGAGAAATTTCTTGAAGGTTCTGGTCTTCTGGAGAGGAAGAAATCTGTAGAAACTTCCAAATGTATCTTCATGAGGATTCTATGGTGACTCCGGTCCGATGGTAAAATAGGGGATTGTTTGGAATTGTTTATAAAAATAAATTATTGATTTATTTTGATTTGATGTCGGTAATAAATATTATTTAATATTTGGATAAATAATTTATATCGATGTCAAACCGGTGATAATGAATCTTTGAAGAAGTTAAAATATTCTAACCTAATATAAGTTGATAAGTGTTTTTGTAAAAAAACATAATTAGTTTTAAATAACAAATTCCAAACACCCTACACATTTGCTTTTATTTCTTATCTTTGTGTATATATGTAAATTACATAATTGATCCATGTGGTTTACATAAAATAAAATTTTGCTTCCTAAGTTTGAAATCGTTATGGAGACGTTCTTGTGGTTTACATTTTTATACGTCTTCGGTCCTTTGCACATACTCTATTAATAAATTTATGTTAAAATGGTTAACTAGAAGGATATTGTAGTCATTTTACCCTCTTCATATTTTAATAGTAAACCTTACTTTTGGTTTCTAAGGTTATGTGATTTTAGAAGTGAGACCTAAACTTTAAAAACTCAATAAGTCAGCCATTAGGTTTAGATTTTGCTTTAAAAATGGTATCTGGTCATTAACTTCGTCAAAGAAGTCTATCAAAAACAGGGGTATTTTTGTCAAACCATATTTTGTTCCCCCTTTTTGCAATTCTTTTTTGTTTTTTCTTATTTTTGTCTAAACTATCAAATTATAGGGACCAATTATGTATTTAGCTCTATTTTATGTATATATATCTATACTATATTATAAAGCATTTGGTTAAAACTCTTAAAACTCTTAAACCCGTTCATCCCTAAACGATTTCATCCCTAAACGATTTTATCCTTATCCGATTTCATCCCATATATGAATTCGTATAACTAACTGCAGATAAATACAATCAAATATGTTAGGACTGAGAAATCAGTATTAATTGTATTCGTCTTGAAAGATTAATTTTAGTCTATAATTGTAAAGTCAGCGTGTTTGACTTTCATAGACTAGTTTGACTTTGACTTTGTATTAATATGTTGACCATATAAATAGG